ATGTCGTGGAGGCCAGAACTTGCCACAATAAATAGGCATAACTTCTCTGCCAGTGCCATTTAATATTTTTTTTCTTCCCTCTGGCATGCCTGTTTGTCCCCACGAAGAAGAATATCCAGAGGAAAAGCAATCAGGGTAAATATTAGACACACTGAAGTGCTCACAGTCTATAATGGAGTTTGTTTCTGCTGGGAAAAATGAAATAAAGCAATTGTATTGACTATATTTTTCTCTGAACTCATTTAAGCCCCTAATGTCTGAGTTATTTTATGGCTTCTTGATAGATCCAACAGTTCTCTGAAGAGGCATTGAGAGCTTCTAGAGTTTAGCAGACGTTTGCACAGCACCAGCAAACCGAAGTCTCCTTCTGTAAAAACTGAAGCCGAAGCCAAGGATGCCCTCTGTGCCCCATGTGGGACCTGAAGGCTTTAAGAGTTCACTGTGTTGTTTTTAACTACTGTGACTTTGAATGAGCTTCCTCCCAGTCACAAAATCCCCTTCCTCCTCTTCCCACCTGAGCTGACTCCTTGCCTGATCTTGATTGGGAGTGAAGGTGCTATCTCTGTCTCTTCAAGGGAGCAGGGGGAGGGGTCAGTCTTTATCATCACACGTGCAAGAGCATGTGAAGGCCAAAGGTCAACCTCAGGTGCTATTCTGCAAGTACCTTCCTCCTTGACTTTTGAGATGGAGCCTCATCACTGTGCCTCGAGATTCACTGACTCAATTAGGCTGGGTGGCTAAGTGCCCCTGGCATCTGCCTGTCTCCACCTCCCGTGCCTGCTGCCATCCTGGCTTTTGGCATAAATTCTGGGAGTTTACATCCATGCCTTGATGCTTGCAGTAACTGAGCCTCTTCCCCAGCACCAATCCCAACTCCTTTCCATGCTTCCTAACCTCACCAGGTTGTGGGCATTCTGGATCCTAGGGCTGAGTTTCCTTCATCTCATTGCACCCAGCAATACCTAAGATGCTCAGTCAGTCCCCAGGGACAGTTTGGGCACACAGATTCCCAGGGACAGTGCTGAGTACTGGGAGTGACTCTCATTGTCACCAGGGTGAATGAATGTGTGGAATGAGCTCAGTGTTACTACATGAAATTAGTTGGTTTGCTGAGCCCTTCCCCAGCTCTGTGTTTCCCACCAAAGACATCTCCTTGGGTGTGAAAATTGCTTTGAATATTGAGAATAACCATAGCAACAGTCAGATTTTTTTTTTAAAACAAGGTTTTTGTTTGTTTTGTTTATTTGTTTTCCTAATGGAAAGGGGATTACTAAGTAAGTGAGTGACTTTGGGAGAGAATCTGGGTGTGATGTCTCAGGAGGAAAAATAAATCAGCAAGACAGGCTCCATGTCAAAATGAAATTTAGACATCCACGCTTGTTAAAGCTATTTCACAGGCTTCCAGAAATTAAAATCTTCACGATAAAATGATAGGATCTTAAGCTAAGAACACATTTCTCAGGTAAAGCATCATTTCACAGCCAGGTCTAAAGCAGAGGCAGGGTAAACACTCCAAGTCCCTTGCTCTTGGCAGAGCAGCTGCCACAGTCAGCCCTTCTGCAACACCCGTCTCTAAGCTGAGACCTAGATCCCTCTGTGCCCAGGCAATGAATCTCTGCCCAGGTATCTAGGCGTGTGTGCAAACTCTAAAAATTCAAATTCCATGCCCATTTGTTATTTCAAATTAGAGTTTCTCTCTGTGGACTCCACACTCAAAAAAAAAAAAAAAAAAAAAAGGAAAAGAAAAGAAAGAGAAATTTCTTTTTCCTTTGTGTTTGGCTAAAGCACATTTCCCAGATGACAATGTGTGCTTGAGCACAGCCAGCAAGGTTTGCTGGGAAATAAATCTCTGCACTCCACATTCTAAGAGGACATTTCCCCCTCATCCTCAAGGGTTTGTTCTAATCATTTTGAGTAGTCTTACAATACCTTCAGAAAATAATGAAGCAGAAAGTAGATCTGCAGTGTGGCTTTCTCTACTCTTATTTTTACGGTAGCTCAATCTTTTACAGAACTCATCTTGTGGATGTTTAATATCCCGGCTTACAGCCTTCTAAATAGGACCTTGATTTGAGAATTAATATAGGGTCTCCACCTAAGTAACTTACAATTAAGACAACAATTCAAACAGATTTTGGGATCCTAAGAATGCAAGCTGTCTCCCGAGGGCTTGCGGCAGGAGGATTTTCACAAGTTTAAGATGAGCCTGGGCTACCTATTGTAGTGAGTTCTAGGGTAACCCAGGCTGTCTCAAAACAAAACAAAGGGTTTTTATTTTTCCTGATTTGGAATCTGTACTAATGACTAATGCTAATTTTGGTGAATTATTTGATAAGACATATGGCTTTTTGATTTTGAAAACCCAAGCCAAATCCTTCAAAGTGATGTCTATTCAATCTACTCTGTACAGGCATTAACCTATAGCTACAGCTATGGAGATGACCTATTAGCTATGCAAGTGCATGAAGTTCAGATCTCTAGACCTGTGAGGATACTGGTGGTTGCAGTGGCCTGCCTGTAATGTCAGCCTCAGAAGGAAGGGACAGAGAACTCCCAGAGCAAGCCAACTAGTGAGACTAGCCATATCTACAGTCTCTAGATTTGAATGAGAGACATTGCATCAATGAGAAAGGGGAAGAAAGGCAGATAATTCCCAAAATCAACCTCATGTCTGACATGCACACATGTGTGTGAACACACACAACCACACTTGTACCCACTTCATGCCCCAAAACAGGCATAATTTCAACACACACACACACACACACACACACACACACACTGGAATTCCACAATCATCCGGGATGGAATATAACAATGTTTATTTTGGGAATAAATTCATAGAAAGAAAGAATTGTGATCCGCAGTCCTCTGTGAGCACTGGGAACTGGGACCAAATCCAGCAGCCAAAAGTCCCACTTACACTTTTTGTCCGCATTTATAGTACATGAGACAATATGCACTGGTATCTTTGAGGCTATTGACTGAAGAAGTTCCCACAGTACACACCACACACACACACACACACACACACACACATTAAAAAATGGATAAATGGCATAGGCTCTGAGGTCCTGGATTTCTATCAAGGAGAATGCTGCTGTGGGTACCAAAGATGTAGAACTATGCAACCCACGCTTGGAGTAGCCATGAAACATCATGCAGAGGGCTTGTTCTAACCCTGTTCGTGAAAATCACTCCTCGGAGGTTTCCACAAAGTTGGTCTCAGGTAGGGTGTTACATTATGCACCCTAAAAACTCCTGAATATTTAATTACAACACTGAATGCTACTAGATGGGAACTTGGGTCGTTGCTACAGCTGCTTTTCTGTTGCTGTAGCAAATCGTTCTGACCAAAGGCACTTTAGAGAAGGAGAGGGTTTACTTGGTTTACACTTCTAGGTTACAGTGCATCTCTGAGAGAAGTCCCTTGAGGAGGAACTCAAGCCAAAACTTAACAGAAACCATGGAGGAATACTTAGCCCAGGACCCTAGGGAATGGCACCACCCACAGTAGGCTCTATGACATCAATTAACAATCAAGATAATTCTCCACAGATATGCCCACAGGTTCATAGGTCAATTTGATCCAGGCAATTTCTCAAGGCTTTCTTTTTAGGCTACACTGTGCTGTGCCAAGTTGACAGGTAAAGCCAACTAGAGCAGTCGTGTAAGATATACTAGGTAAGCCACGAAAAGCCAGTCTAATCCTTACTACCCCAAGACACAGTTTGAACTTTCAGAACATTTTATACTAAACTTTAACAAGACTGTAGAACATTCAAAATAGTCAATTCAGGCACAAATTAGAAATGCGGTCCCTAGTGAAAAGCAAACTTGACAAGTGAGCTAACTTTCCTGGCAGAAAAGAATGAGACAAGAAAGACGGTAAAACTTGAGCCCACCAGAGTTGGAAGTACTTGCCACGTTTGTCTCTCCATCATCTGCAAGAGGACTGTGGGAGAATCTTCACCCTTCTGCCACCAGTCAGTGTGATTTCCAATTACAATCAACAGATACAAGTAGTTGAGGGAAATTAAAAAGAAACAGCAAGCTCAATTTGCCAAGCATCGGAAAGGTAATGTCTCAGAAGCAGTTGGGAAAAGTCAAGTCAGCTAAGAGAGCTGTAGGAGTGAGGACAGAATAAAAGTCCCAGGTGCTTTGTCTGTGAAGCCCCACCCCAGGCTATCTATTTGGAACATTCTCTGTAAGCTAGAGGAGAAGGGATAATGCCTGCTTAAAACAAGCAGAGGTTTATACATGTATGTGTGTATAAATGTGTATGTATGTGTGTATATGTTGTATGTATGTATGTTGTGTATATGTATGCATTTTATAATATAATATGTACATATACATAGGTTTACAGGCCAGAGATAGAGTGTGGAGTTGCAGCTCCTGAGTAGACCCCAGCTGTAGAAACCTAATGAGCCAGGCAACACAAGCATGAGGTTAAGAAGAAGACAAGGGTTCACACAAGGATGTAGTTCAGACTTTGATGTTCAGGGTAGACAAACCCACATGGGTCTCCAGTACAAGCGTTTCTAAAAGGGCCTTGACTACTTCAACACATTAGCTTTAATAGGTAAGTTAAGACGGCTGTGAAAAGCTCTTGGTGAAGCTAGAGAGACAGCTCAGCTGTTAAGGCTGCCTGCATTTAAAGAGGATGCCAGTTCAGCTCCCGGCACCCACACTGGGAGACTCATACCTGTTTGAAACTCAGCTCCAGATGATCAGATGCCCCCTTCTGCCCTCCCTAGGTACCTGCGCGCACACACACACACACACACACACACACACACACACACACACACACACACGGTAAGTCTGTTAACTTCGCCCATCTCCCAGGGAGGAAAGAGGTAGCAATGGCTTCCCAGAGATCGTGGATGAGAAGTTCCCAGCTCTGTTTTCCTTCACGGTGGACGATGACATAACACTTGGGAAGGATAGAGCCTTCCAGAATTCCACAACAGAACTAAGGTCCAGTTGCCCACATTTCAGCCTAAATATCATCTGTTTTGTCTCTTTCCCTTCAGCTCAAATTATTACTATCAAATATCATGATCTTCCATTCAAATTCTTGTCTCAGTTTCTGCATCTGCTGGAGGCAAACTAAAACGTGTGAGTTGGGGGTGCTATGTGAAAAGAATAAAGAAGGCCAGAAGAGGTCTTCACGCTGACATCAGGAGGACAGCTGAAGCTCTGGCTAGGGAAAAAGCTGCAATCAATACTGCAGAAGAAACACCTTGACGTCGGCTTCAGTTGTAACTACAAACAGCACACACAATGAGGAGTCTCGAGAGGATTTAGGGGAGTGTCTGCATGAGTCAGGACACGTCAGCTGTCTATGCAGTCTCAATCTTCCAGTTTACAATGTCTGACATGAGCATTCATGGTTCCCTTAACTGCACACTAATTTCCTAACGTGCGAGTTTTTCTGATATCTAGCAATATCCCTTTTCGTTCGTCACATCAGTGACAACATCTTTTGTGCATTCCTCTCTTTGATTATATATGAAATCAAATTATGTTATATATTATATATATCAGATTATATCTGATACATTACTATTTGGGCTTACATACACGTATGTAGTTTTATGAGTATACATGAAACATGTTTTCCTATTGTTTGGCTTACAAACACATATATAATGTTATGAATATAATTGTAACATATTTCTTGTTGTTGGGGTTACCTCCCAGTTGTTCCTAAAAATTGCTGTAAGAACATCGATCAACTCATGCAACACAAGATGACGTACAAAACGAATGGATCGACACTGGAGGCAGAGGAAGTAAGGCGGACTTATAGACCGGGACTTGGAACTCAAGGTAAAGTTTCTGTTAGGTTAAGCTTAGGTGAGAAATGTAAATTCTGAAAAAAATATCACAGGCATCTCTTGATCTCTTGATCCAGAAGGGCAAAAAGCCATAGGTTAATTAATTGTCGAGCAGAGAAGTGGTGTTACTACATGAAAGCAACATTGCAACGCAGCCTGTCATGTGAGATGGGAGATAATGCTCAGGTATCCTGCCGGCTTTACATTCATTTGGTCTTCAGAACAAAGAGTGACATGTTTCTGAAAATGCTAGAAATGTATGCTATTTCCTTCATCTTCCTCAAACTCATGAAATCAGGGGTTCACTAGATGCACATTTCTGAAGATTTCATAACCACTCCATCACTCTGCAGACAGGGAAGAATGGAATTCTGGGGTGCAGAGGAAAATTCTTGTATTCCTCGTTTTGGTTATTACACCAATGCTTGAAGAAACGCTGACTGCTAAGTAGAGGGAATCCCTAAGCTGTCCACGGGGCCACTGCCTTTCTGAGGATGGAGAAAATGAATGGCAATGTTGTAATGACCTCTCCGGGTAAATGTCTCAGTAATGTTTCTGACACCAAAAGATGCTGATTTAGCTAAAGCTACAGAGTGGGAACTTGGGAAGTAATTGCTATCCACCGCCATTTAAGGGGACTTTTAGAATAAATATCCACTCAAAGAGTGACTGATAGTAAAATGCCACGCTCTTTACTGAAGCAGATATCTGTTAATGATGGCTACCAATGCAATTTTGAGTTTGGGGAAAATTAACATACATTCTAAAATCATTTTTAATAGTCCAGAAATTAAGGGCAAAGAGCACAGATCTAACCTTCCATGTGCATACAGTGATAGCAGAAGGAAAGAAATGATTAAACTTGAAGGTGATGGATGTGTTCTCATAGTTGATCATTACCCAAAGCAAGTAAGAATCAAAGTATCACATGGTACTTCATAAATAGGTTCAGACATTACATGTCAATCATAAAATTGCAAGTAAAAAATGATTAAGAAAACAATAGCTTTTCCAAGGTCGATTGCTTCATATTTACTGAGTACAGCCTACATCGACAAGGCAGTGTTCGGACAGTCCAGATGATCCTATTTCATCCTTAAGACAACACAGTCATCTGTGTCTAAACTACTATTAAATCATGTCGGCTGACAAAACGCAATCAAGATCTTGTCTGTGTTCAATGATTTTTAAAACAACATTAATTTTCATGACTTCATTGCTAGATTATTTCATGAACATTAATTCCAAAGTTTCAGGAGGCGGTTGGCGTTCTCCGGTGCCGTAAAACTAATCTCACTCTATTTCGTCACGAAGTCTGATGATTAAACGTTTGGAAATATAGAAATATTACTTACTGTGTGATTTATAAATACATAAAATACTAATTTATCTCGCACTGGAAAACAACAAAATGGTGAGATAAAAATCAATTATTTTTGTCCTAAGGCAAGATATACTATTGGTTCCAAAGGATGTACCAAGTCGATCAATCAATTTTATGAGCAGCTGCCAAATTATACAGTGAAAATTGAAGGCTGGGGCTTCTCTGGAAATTTCCGTTCCATTCCTCATTGTGACGTTTGATGTTGACACAGAACACTCATCATTGGATATCTTAATGGATTTTAAAATTTGTGACACCACTTACCAGACTATAAATGTCAGGGAGTGGGTGATGTTTCCAAAGACTTCAATGTGCCTTTCCTAGAATACCAAAGTCTGTGGTTTAAGAAAGGACGAGTGAATTATCTGATGATTCTCTAGGTCAAACATCTGACCTAAGTTGAAGGTCAGATAAAATCCATATTCCAGGCCAGGTCGATGGCTCAGTTGGTGAAGTGCCTGCCTTGCATGCATGAGGACCTAAGTTATGATCCCCAGCACCCATATAAAATTTCAGGCACAGAGGCCTGCTTCTGTAACCCCAGTACAGGGGCATGGACACAGAGGGATCCTATAGTTCATCAGTGGACCAATGCAGCCAACTAGTGAGAGTGAGCTCCAGTCCAATGATAGACTGTGTCTCAAGAATAGGATGAAGAGTAATAGACGAAGATGCTTAACACCAATCAATGACCTCCACATGCACATATATGCATGTGCACACAATCCATGTGAGTACATGTGCACATACACAAATGTACACCAAAAAATTAGATTAAACCAAGCTGTCTTTGGGCTACATTTCTTCTGAAAGATTCTGCAGGATGTCCATGCCCTTTCCTATCTGTAGTAGAGGCAAAAGAGTGTCACCAACTTCCAGCCTCTTCCTGGCAGCATGGAGAAACATTCTTGGTCCCCTTATCTCTTTCACCTTCTTCTCTTGGTCTATCTTACATGCTTCGTTCTTGCCCCAACACTGATGGTTATCAACCCGCTTTCCATCTGCAGTGCTCCTTTCCCCTTTACCATGTAAAGTAGCTTCCTCACAGGTTCCAATATCAAGGATGCAAACATCTTTATCATAATGCTAATTATTCATGCCCATTTATTATGTCCAAGTATTTCCTGTGCATCTATTATATTTTTCAAACCAAGATAGACTCTCCAAATGAGAGCAATCAAGAAAAAAAATACCCTTTGGGAACTTGCATTTTCAATTGTAGGTTTTCTAACTTCCGACAGCAAACACAACTTAAATTTTCCAAAATGGAAAAAAAAAGTCTATATTTAAGAAGATACCAGATAGTTTCTGAGAATAAACAAATTGCTAACTGTACTATTTTGCTTGAGGCTGGTTTTCTAAACCAATTGCAAAGTTGTGGAAAGAATAAACAAGAACTAGTGGCCAAAGAGTAGATTTTAGACAAAGAGTAAATTACAGCTTATCTTTATCATGCACAGATTCTGCCTTTTTGAATACACCTACTAGCTACAAGTTATTTGTAACCCCCCAAAATAAATGTCCAGGCTATTTTTCTTGGTCATTACAGAGATGTCCCAAACCTTAAAAAGCACTCACTTGCCCCAGGCAACCGTAATGTTCTGTATTTGATAACTCATTCTTTCCGGAGATGTTGCAAAGCCTAGGTACCAGATGTAACGAGAATCAGCAATGCCCAGCACAAACCGCAGCTTTCACTCACTCTGCAACAACTGAAGCAAGCATCAAGGCACATCAACAAAACACATTATAAAACTGCACTAGGATATGACAAACATGGGTCTTTAAAGATTTATAATTAAGCTGCCCACATGTAGACTGTTTCACGCTTTATAAGTTGCACCTGCCAGGTGTCAGAGTCATGCATATGAATACATTCAGGATATTTATGATCCTAGGACATTTTATATTAAAGCTGCCTGAAGCTGCCTGTCAGTGATTGATTTTTTTTTGAAACCTTAAGCACACACTTCAGACGTCACTCATCCTCTGAGAGGTGTGCTTTCCTTTCTCTTGTTTTCTACTTTTACTTAGTGTTAGATATTTGGTAGGTAGAGATGACTATGAATCTAGATGTTGGTAAAGTGTAAATATAAAAATAAATATAATATCTTACTTGAAAGTGTGTTGTCATGGGGGCCAGAGAACAAACATATGTGCTCAAGCCAGGACGAAGGTCAATAAGGAGGTTCTTCAGTGGAAATTCGTGACTGAAGCACATGGTCTCTCCTAACCCTCTTCTGGAGCACCCTCCAAGAGGAGTGAGGAGTTCTCCATTTTTAAGGTGGGTAACAGAGACGTTAACCTCCTCGTGGCATCTCCACCCTACTCTATCCAAATGCAGGAAAATGACAAACAAATCAGCTTCACAACCCAAACCATGGGGAAATGGAGTCAGGGAATTGCTTTGGTCTGGGAAAGGAGTAAAAAGATCCAACCAAGTCATTTCTCTCACTTCCATTTTACTCACTTAAATTCCGTCTTTTCTGTTTCTCAGTCCCAACAAGCCTCCCTACACTTCATCAATGCCAACCTGCCTTGCCTTTAGAGTAACACCTGGCCCCTGCCTTGCATCTGGACAGCCACCTCCATCCCTGGTGAGGCAACTCATTTCACATCAATCAATACTTTTCTTCCACTTGGTCCTCACGGTGCTCATTAATGTCCACCTTAACTTACTGAAAGTAAAACTGTACCGTGTCAGATGGGGAATTTCAGTTACTAAAAATTTCAAAAGGAGAAAAAAATATATCTGCCATTCAGTGTTTTTATTGTGGATATTTTCAAATATCTATACTAAGCAGGGAGGAGAAAAATAAGAAACTCACCTACAACCAGCTTCAAAGACTGTTAACTAATGGCCAATCTTACTTCACTTGTAGTCATATACCAACTTAGTTTATCACCTTTTCTAACAGATTAGGTTAAATTCAGTCACAGTCATCACATAATTCCACTCATAAATATCTCCATATATGTACTTAAAGGATGGGGATTTCTCTTTAAACAAAAGCACAATGCCCATATAGTAATGAATGTTTAATATTGTCTCTGTAGTATCCTTATCATCCTGTGTGGCTTAGTCATTGCTCCAAAGCAGACATGCAAGCATTAAAATGTTGGCAATGTTATTGAAATCAGGAGAGCAAAGAGTTAGTTCCAGGAAAGCTACAGCTGTTACACAGAGAAACAAAAATCAGGCGAGCATAAATTTCCAAGATCACTGGGATGGAAAGATGGGTCAGAGGTAAAGAGCACTTGATGCTCTTGCAGAGGGCCTGGGTTCAGTTTCCAATAACCACATGGCAGCTCACAACCACCTATAACTTGAGCACCAGAGCCTTGAACACCTACTTCTGACCTTTGGAATGGTGCACATACAGACATACATGCAGGCAAAACAACCACCTACACTGAATAATAAACAAACTAACACACAAATGTTTTAAAAAGTAAATTGTTAAATGTTTTCTTGGTCTTGTCTCCATTTACTTAAACAATGTAAGTGAGCAAAGATGTAAGCACACATCCGAAGCCCATTCAGTGTGATTCCTCTGCTATCTTCGGCGGCATTCATTCTCTTTTCACCTGGAGGACTTGAAAATTGTCCTTACAGCCACTTCTGGGAAGAACTGTACCTCTCCAAGTCTCTCTTCAGTCGGAGACTTAAAGATATGCCAGGTGCATCTGCGCTAATGTCCCCCAAAGACTTCCAAACTTTAAGCAATGTCAGCTCACCAAAAAATGGACAACTCATCCACTAGAGTTGTTAGATTTAAGAATCCAGATTACCTGATGAAAAGTATACAAAAATATACAGAGATCCTGTCTCAAAAAGTAAAAGTAAAAATAAAAATAAATAGAGGTTAAAATAAAGATGGAGAATACACAGAGAATCTTGATACTGTATGTTATTATGCTCTCTTTGAATTGTTTGAATGCTGAGGAAGGAGCAACACCTGCTAAAAGACTTTTGTTTATAAATGCTGCTGAACTAAACCAAGACAGGTATTTTGAAAATACCCTGGCTTCAAAATTGAAGTCAAAAGGTATGTTACTTTGGAGAAGAGGTTTTGCTTTTGTTTCCACAGAAAATGAGAGGCTCTGGATTTATTCAGAGTTAAGAAAAATCAGCTTTGACCAAGGGAGACCTCCTGAGAAATCTCTGATAGGAACAGATGGCTCAGATGACAGAGTTCTTCATCCAGACCAGGTTCAAGACTGCTGCCTGAGATGATCAAGACTCACAGGATACTCCAATCAGGACATGAGTATAACTCTAAATTTTCTTTAGGTCCCCATAAGATTATCAGCGCCCCCAACCAGCAGGAAGTAGCCTGAAATACTACGCCCACATTCCCAACAAATGGACTATGGGTATTTTCCTTTGTTTAAAAAAAAAAAGAGAGAGAAATGGTGTGGGGGAATTGTCTGTATTCTGTCAATCATATTTTAATAAAATGCTGATTGGCCAGGCGGGAAAACCAGACAGGAAGTAGAGGCGATGCAATGAGAACAGGAGAATTCTGGGAAGCAGGGAGGTTCCTCTGAGACTCCTGTGCAGACCACCGAAGAGGCAGAATGTAACTTGCCCAGCTGAGAAAGGTACGGAGCCATGTGGCTAACATAGATCAGAATAATGGGTTAAGATAAGTCATAAGAACTAATAAGTAGCCTGACCTAATGGGCCAATCAGTTTATAATCTTATGGAGTCTTGTGAGTGATTTTCTTTGGGATTTGCCGGTTGTGGGGAACTGGGCGGGAACAGATACCCCAACAAGCCGGCCCTCATGTTACAGTATGGCATAGAAGGAAATGTAGGACAGCTGTGTCCCACAGCTATGATGCACACCAACACAAGCAAAGCGCAAGGGTGGTCAATAAGAGGATGACAGCGGCCACTTAGAGTCCATGACAGCCATCGCTTTCTTCTCTCATCCTTAGATACACACATTAAAGCTTGTGGCGTGGGAGAAACAGCCTATCACATGACTTCCTGAGCTCATTCTGCCATCTTTGGCTACTGCTGACAACATCACAATCTTTAAATATCCATGGGTGGTTCAAGTTCATAGCGTTCGATTCCAAGTGTCTCTTCAGTTCCGTGGCAGTCCTCCCTCTCCTAACAATAGTTGGAGAATGCTCTCACTGGAAGGAAAGATCCTTCTGATCACAATCAAAGTTCTAGCTCAGGCATCTAGGTTATACTTTGCTTGCTTCTGTTGCCATGATTGAGAACATTTAAAAAAAATAGAAAAACCAAGAGAAAATACAGAAATACAGCCATTTGTCACTTCTCTTTCAAGCACAACAGTGATTTCAAACTAATGGTGGCATTTGAGGGACAGTGTGGGAATGTACCTTCCAATATTGTTTTCATTATGATACTGAGATTTATTATATGATACAAAGAGCCCCAGAGTCTATAAACATATACACGTTTTGCATGTTCATAACAGAAATATAATTCCCTTGTCAAGCATAAGTATCTGTCACCATCTGCAATCAGAACCAATTTTTGTATTAGGATTTGAAAGTCTGTAGTTATCATACCATTCAAAATAAAATCATTTATAATATGGATGACCAACTTTAAATGCCCTGGGCCTTTTTTAAAATGTTATGATAATTTCATATAAAATTACAATGCATTTTGACCATATATACCCCCCTCCTCCCCAACTCTTTTCTGTCCACCACACCTCTTTCTCAAATTTGTATTCTGTCCTTTGATTGCTACACGCACATACAGACAGATCACACACACACACACACACACACACACACACACACACACACTTTTGACTTGGGCATCACATCAGCATAGAGCCATTTTGAACACATTTTCCAACATAATATAACGGACTGGTGGCATCTTGTGAAATGGCAGTAGACTCGAGTCTCACTTGATAATATAAATTTCTCAAAAAAAATATACAGAACCTTCACTTTACACTTGTGACATCCTATATCAAACATCTGAGTGACTGTCATTGCACAAGGCAGACAAATAGACTCCTTGTCAAAGGCACCTCACCCCAAGGTCATCAGAATGCAGGCCATTATCTACAAGGTAAGTGTATCTTTTCAAATCTGAAACTACGTCTAGAGAAATCCTTCACATATCATTAACTCAAGCAGAGAACAGAAAGCCAGAATATTACACGTGTGTGAGTCAATTTACAGAAAAGATGGGAACCATTGTCCTGGTCAGAAGCAGCTAAGATCAGTCAGGAGCGATTGAGACTGATGTGTGCACACAGCAACTAAATCAGAAGCAGGAAGTGGAAAGTTATACAAAAGACGGTGTCACAGTTGGGTTAATCAGCGGTTCCATTGGGAGGCAAACCTGATTAGTGGATGGGTCTCAGATGAATGACAAAACAGCTTTTGCTTAGCTTGGGTGTGAGTTTTGGCTGCAACATACAAAAGAGAATAGCAAGGGTAGGACACCATGGTATATTCAGGAATTGACTCAACTAAACCTAGAAGTGAAAAAAAAAAAAGGTGGAGTAAGAAACTTCGAATTGTTAACAGCATAGAAAACGAGAACATGAGAATGAGAGGAAAGCTTGCTAAACTAAAATGATTGAGGTGAAGTCAGTGGAAGCTGTTCTTAATCTCTTTCCCTTTGAGGATGTGATGTGGGAAAGTCTCTGGGGACCCCCTTAAAATCTTTCCCCATCTCTCTCACCATTCTAGGAGTTGCAATGATCTGCTAGCCGCCAAGAAGTGGGGCTCAGATTCATTTAGATCCTATAATACTGATAGAATGGTCTTAGAGTTGGAGGGAACTGAAAGACCATAGATAACCAGAGTCCTCAGGTTTATAGTTGAGAAACGTGAAGTCAAACCATACTAGGGCTTGTCAAAGTCACAAGCCAGAGTCTAAGGAGATGGCTCAGTGGGTAAAATGTTTGTCTAACTATGAGAAACCATATAAAATAAAGCCCAGAGTGGGGGGATATTCACTTGAAATACCATGCTTAGAGAGCTAGAGACAATAACATCTCTGGAGCCTAGCCCACATGGCAAGCTACAGACCACTGAGGGACCTTGTCTCAAAAACCAGGTGAAAACACCTAAAGGTGACACCCTAAGCTGACTTCTGACCTCCATATGTATTTGTACACAGGTGTTCCTGCTCCCGAACACACATGTACACCAGCTTGCACACATAAATACATATAAAAATGATTAGAAGTCACAAATCAAATGAGTTTTAGGGTGAGGGTGACCTGCGCCTTTAATACAAGCCCTTGGGAGTCAGAGGCAGACAGATTTCTTAGTTGGAGACCATCCTGGTCTACAGCCAGGATTACACAGAGAAACCCTGTCTCAAAATAACAAACAAAGAAAAAAGAAAAGAAATGCCTGTGTCTGTGTCAGGCCTTACAAATCAAATGACTTACAAATCAAATCAGGAGCCTAAATCCTGTACATAGAAAACACCTTGAACCACACAGAGATGGCTCCATTCCCCAGGTCTACAAACAGGCATCTGAGGATTAGTGTCTCCTTACCTGAAGCCATCTGTTCCTCTCTCTGGCATTGATCACACACTTTGCAGAATCAGAAGTCATGAGAAACTGCATTTCATGTGGAACTCTGATAGACCTTGAGAGCAGGGACATGGTCACACTGGGTCTGAGCCATGCCTCCTGCAGAGAGCCCTGTGAGCCACCCTGGAGAGCAGTTCAGCCCTGGCTTCTAAGGAGCCCAGCTGCCTCTTCTGAGATAGATACCCAGTACTCACATCCTTTGCAGAGCATCCATTTCTCCGACTCCTCCCTTTCAACAACATTTTTTAATTTAAAACCAACTTTAAATTTGAATATATTTTGATCATATTCTTCCTCCCCTAAGTCCTGCCAGATTCTTTCCCCTTCCCGACTCACCCAATTTAAGTTCTTTCTCAAAAAACAAGGCAAAACCCAAATACAACAATAAAAACCCCTCAAAAGCAATAAAGCAAAATAAAATACCACCCAAAAAGAAAAGGGAAAAAAAAAAAACCTGTAATCAAGAGACAGAGTGGATGGAGGGCATCAAGAAAATCAGATCCTTTAAATCAACAAAAGCAAAACTCATTGAAATGCATAGAGACTGAAGCAACATGTATAGGGCTGCACAGGTATGCACCAGGGCCTCTACTTATAATATTTCTTCCAGTTTAATATTTCTATGGAATTCCTGAGTGTACAAAATGAGTGGGTCTCTGATTCTTGTGCCTTCTCTTCGGCTCTTTTCTCTCTGTTGGTTTGTCTTGTCTAACTCCAGTATGGTAGTTTTTGCTTTGTCTTATTATAGTTTATTTAAAAATGAATGTGTGAATGAAAACCTATACACTGGGGTAAAGACCAGCAACTGAACTGTCATTTATACCTGCAGGGAGAGGGAAAATCACTTTTCTCCAATGGAGTGACACTGGGTACATCAACAGATTTTTGATGCCATCTTGGACACTCATCGTGTGTTAAACCTAGGAATCCATTAGGATAGTCACTGCATGGGAATGCATTAGAGCTCTGGATTGCAGCAGCCTGGGCTGTGCTGATCTAAACTGCACCCGTTCTCAGTTGGCAACCACTAGAGGCGCTCAACACCTGGCGCCTTCAGCTTCATCTCTAAGATGGAACTAATGAGACAGCACTCCCCAGAAGGTTTTGGATGACACCACAAGCAAAGGGAATCCATTTCTCCAAAAAGCAAATTAACTCTTTCAGACCCCACAGAAAGTTTATAAGCTTTCCCCACATGGTGGATTCCTATGAACTCAGCATTTTAATGGGTCATCTGTCTTTTTGTTCTTAGGACAATAAATCAACGAGAGAAAAGAATGAGAGAAAATCCATTTTTTTGTGTGATGAATATTTGTAGTTCTGCCCATCCTTATCAGGGCCCTCTCTACATCCTCACACTTGTAATCATCTTCTCCATTTGCTGTAGAAATGTCCTTGGGCATGACCCCTAGCACACTGATCCAACCACCATGCAACTCCTAATCATGGCCAGTCTCCCCAGTCAACTTGATGGGTTTAGAATCACCCTAGAAACACATCTCTATGCAGTTATGTCTCTGGGGAAGTTCCCAGGGCTGGATTAAGTGAGGTGGAAAGACCTACCCTAAATGTGGATGGCACCATTCTAAGGGCTGGTGAAAAGCGCTGAACACGAAGGAGAAAGCCTACTGAGCCACAGCATTTGTCTCTCCCTGCTTCCTGACTGCGGATGCAGCATTAGCCAGTTGCCTCACACCCCAGCACGGTTCCTTCTCCCACCATGATGGAATGTTCCCGGAGAGGGTGAACCAAAATAAAGCTTCCCACTCCAGTCACTCCCGTTGGATATTTTGTCAGAGCTGGAAGAAAACAAATATATGCCCCTTTAGAAGGCCCTTGTCCACACCTGGGGACATTGCCCTGATTGTCCAGTTTTTGAAACAAAATGTTTCAGGCAGATGACTAGATTCTTTCAACTGCCTCAAATTGTTTGTGTTTTTCATGGCTCGTAGCTCTGCTCTTCCTCCGATGCCTCTACCTTTGCAACAGTTAATGTGATGAGTCAGCGTAACTAGACCATGGTGCCCACACATTCAGTCAAATAGACCAAGGATAATGCAAACTGCCCATTAGTGTGTGGGTGGGCCTCTTCTAAGCAGCTGAAGTCCTAAATGGAAACTAAGTCTGACCTGTTTGGAAGAGGAAAGAGTTATGCTGTGCAACCCTGCACCCTGGATCCTGGATTCTAGCCTGCTAGTCAGTCTACAGATTCTAGGCTGACCAAGCTTCCATGGTTACATGAAGCAAGCCTTTAAATATCTTTGAAATGAATTTCTCTCCTTCTCCTTCTCCTTCTCCTTCTTCCTATCCCCTTCCCCTCCCCTCTCCTCTCTCCCCACTTCTTGTTTCTTCCATGAACAGTGCTGACTCTTTCCTTTCCTAATGCTCCTAACAGATCACACATGTCCGTATCCTGCAAATACAACGTCACTGTGTGTTTGAACCCTAAGCCTAATAAGCATCTCCCTGCATGCTTGCCTATAGGCTGACTATGTTGTATCTGGCAGTGTACACAGGGTCTATCAGGGGCTCCCAACTTGAGCTGGGCACACATAGCCATCAGACTCTGTTTAAAGCAGACAGCAGTATTACATTTCCTTAGACTATTTTGCACATGAAGGTCCCTTTCAGTAGGGGGATGCTCAACCTGACCTGACTTTTTCATGGGAAACTGTGTCTCTCCTTAGAAACAGTGTGACCTGGATCCAAGTTCCCCATCCAAGCCCTCTGTAACTGTTTTCCAACCTCCCACCCAGGCTTGACACACAGACAAAGGTCTGAGAAGGGCATTGGCTGTCTCCACAATTCTGTACTGGGGTTCCCTTCCAAACCCCTATGAGTTGTTTACTCCCACCTTTCGGCTACACTGCTGATAGCCTCAAATGGCTTCTTAAATTTACAGGCAGTAGAACAATGCTTTTCAAGTTGTGACTCACGACCCCTGTGGGGTTTGGACAACCTTTTCACAGGGGTCGCCGAAGACCATCCTTCATACCAGATATTTACACTGTGATTCATCACAGTAGTAAAATTACAGTTATGAAGTAGCAGCGAAAACAACTTTATGGTTGGGGGTCACCACAATGCGAGGAACTGCATTAAAAGGTCACAGCATTAGGAAGGCCGAGAACCACCGCAGTAGAGGGTTGTATTTCATTGGGCTGATGTTTTCTCTTTCCCTCTGTCCCCTTTCCTTGCCTCCCTCCCTCCTTCCTCTCTCTTCCTTCCATCCCTCCTTCCTGCTATGTTTATTAACTGTGTCTATGTGCGTGTGTGTGTGTGTGTGTGTGTGTGTGTGTGTGTGTGTGTTTAGGGTGCATGTGGGCCACAGCACAGGTATGAAGGTAGGAGGACAGCGTCACATGTCACCCCCACCTTCTTCCTTGTCCAAGACAGGATCTCATCTCCATCATTTTCTGCTGCACGCTCCAGGCCGGCCTGTGGACAGAGTGATTCCCCTGGCTCCACAGCCCAGCTCAACACGGGAACACCAACATTCCAGACACAGGCTGCTGCACCTGGCTTATGTGTGTTCTGGGAATTCTAATTCGGGTCCCAGAGTTTACATGTCAAATGCTTTATGCACCGAGCCCTCTCTCCAGCTCTCTCTCCTCCTTTGCTCTCTTTCCCTCTTGCTTTACCTCCCTTTTACTTCGTTCTTCTCTCATCATCACTGTCATTTGTATCGAATTTTTACAATGTTCTTTTGTGTGTGCGTTGCTACAGAGGAAATAAGAGCAATTGTCCTGAGCTGTAAGATGATGCGTCTGTCCTGCATATGCCCAATCACAGAGACGGCATCCTTAACAGCCACCCTCTTCCTTACAGTTCTTACTCGTTTTGTGTTTGTTTGTTCATGCATTTGTTTGCTTTTTTCCCTTAGCTTCTTTACTCTGACTAGGCCTTGATCTGGCATCCTAATGACCGAAGTAACCCTTGGCACAGGCACCTGAAGAGGCTTACTAGTCTCATAACGCCAGTTCCCATGCCTGTAAGTGAGAAAACACAACTGATGGCTTTGGCTACTCTACCCCAGATCATCAGATCTGGTCATATTGCCAATCCAGGCCCCAGGTACAGTGAACTCCAGGGAGGAGAATATGAGAGAGGAGGGGAGGATTGAGAAGAGAGAGGGCCAAGGAGAGGAAGAGTATGGTGCCCAGGAACTACTTTTCCTGAAGGAGAGGCATGAGATAACTGTTTTATGTCAGAGTAGACCATGTCAAGCCACACAGATTTCCAGAAGAACAGTAGATTCTAATGTAGAACGCTATGCAATCTTTAAGTTGGAAGAGACACAGGAATATATTTCCCAGACATATACATACCTCCTGTGGGCTAGGTATAGGTCAATGTACTACAAGTTAATGTCATTTTAGAAAAGGAACTCTCAACTGAGAAAATGTCCTCAGCATATTGGCCTATAGGCAAGCCTATGATACATTCTCTTGACTGATGATAGAAGATTGATGTGGGAGGACCCAACTCACTTTACGCAGTTCCATGCCTGGGCTAGTGGTTCTGGGTCCTTTAAGAAAGCAGGCTATAACTGGGCATTGATGGCACATGCCTTTAATCCCAGCACTCGGGAGGCAGAGACAAGCAGATCTCTGTAAGTTTGAGGTCAGCCTGGTCTATAGAGAGAGTTACCAGATAGCCAAGGCTATGGCTGTTACACAGAGAAACCCTGTCTTGGAAATAAAAAGGCAGGCTAAGCAAACCATGAGGAGCAAGCCACTAAGCAGCATTCCTCTATGGCCTCAGCATCAGTTCCTGCCTCCAGGAGTTCCTGCTCTGACTTGTCTGGATGATGAACTAAACACTTTAGACTGAAACAAACCCTTTCTTCTCCCAAGGTTGCTTTGGTCACGCTGTCTCATCACAGAAATAGAAAGCAAGCTAGGACATAGGTCTTTCAAATCACTCAAAACTGTTGCTCCTTGCTGAGATGAAGGGGGTGGGGGAGAGGGGGCTTAGAAAATATGCCAGAGTCAAGTTTACACTTGATTCAGTTCAGGTTTGAGCAACATAATGAAAGGTTAAGAAGTTTTGAAAAGTGCAAATAAAAAAGAGTCACAGGGAAACTCATCATCCGTGTGTATCTACATGAGAGGTTTGATTTCACAAGAGCAGGGAGACGCAACGGAAGAATTTTCTCCCAGTGTGGATGAATTTCAATATTTGCCTGTCATCTTTGACACGAAGCTTTACAAAGAGAGCGCAAATGTCACCGCAAACTCAATTAATTCATATATTTATTCTAATCTCAGGTTTTAAAATCAATTTCCAAAGTGACATATTGAATTGGTTTCTTTATTATTATTTCTTGGTAGAAAGACAATGCTGTTATTGAAATAATAGCATTGTAGTTCTTGGGATGATTTTTCACCACTTTCCAAAAACTTGATAAAATAAATACAGGATTTGGGGCTTCATTTTAACCTCCTGAAGCTGATATTCCCAGCCTGCCCTCCACTCATGATGACTCTGACATAGTCTAATAAAGCTATGAGTCCCGGAGGATAGCTTTCTCATTGCCCCAGCAATTTTTCTCTTCTCTTTCTTATAGAAGAGGAATTCTATTATTAAGTACTTAAAATATTCAAGGCTCTAAACGGGAGACGCTCTCCGTTCCAGAGATTAATAACAATAAGAGACACAGAATGGAAGATGAGGGTTCAAAGCCAAATAGAAATTTCATTTGCAGAGCAGAAGTCAGACCCAATTTCTCTGCAGCATGTGTTTCTGATTTATAGACTCCACTCCACGGACTGTGTCCTCATATTTTTGTGAAGCTTGATTTTTTTTTTCCCCTTTCACAGCCACAGTTGCTCCTGGATAAAGGCCCTCACTCATGCTTGACGTTTTTGTAACACATAGTCTTCTCGGTCATCCAAAGGATTATTGTTCATAAATGCTGGTCAAAGTCCTAAGACTCACACCATAATATAAAGAGATAATTTTAGACAACATCAGTCCCAGAGTGTGAAGCACAAAGGCAATGGGAAGTGTGGGTGGGGACAGTCAAGTTGTGCATGTCATGGTTCTTATGATATTATGCAAATAGCTTGTCTCAATGTAAACACAGATCTCCAATTGATAAGCTGGCCAGGTATACCACCAGGTTTTGGATATGCAGTAAGTAATAACAGAGATTTTTTTTTCCCCATGTTTGTCCTACAAGGGAACTTTCCAGGTCTGTCCTAACTCACATTGGCAATGAGCACAGACTGACATTCTCCGAGGGATCAACAGCTTTAATTAAGACATGAGTGTACTTTTTTTTTTAATA